TCTTGTAATGGCGATCCTGTCCGGCTCACTACAGTTATGCAACAAGACAGCAACCAAATAATTCAAATATAATGGGGTACACCTCTAAACAGAATTCTCAATAGAAGAATCTAAAATAGATGAGACACATTTAACAATATGTTCACTATCATTAGCCATTGGGAGATTTCATCATAAACCTGACAGAAAGGATAAGTTCAACAACACAAGTGACAGCTAAGGCTCCAAGGATGTGGTGAAAGGGAACTCATTGCTCTTGCAGTGCAAACTTGTCCAGCCACTGTGGAAATCATTATGCAATCCTCAGAATATTGGAAGTCAATCTACCCAAGACCCAGGTGTCCCACTCTGTGCATATTCCCAAAACATGCTCTTCCCTCCTACCACATGGATACATGCTTGACTCTGTTCATAATAGCCAGAAACTGCTGTGTCTGTGATAGATTGCATTGATTGATGACTGATGTAGGAAGCCCCTAAGAAGGTGGACCTGTGCTTGGATATGGAGCATTCTGAGCATGAAGTAGAGACTAGGCAAGAGAGGAAGGCTGTAAATAGGCTTTGCAAATGTGTTTTGCATTCAATTGTTAGCTTGCAGTTTTTCCTACACTTCCAAGATGATTGAATGTGATTTGACACAATCAATGAAATAATCCCCTTTACTGAATGAAATGATTTCAGTTTGAGGATTTAATCACAATAGCATAAAAGCAGGCAGCACAAACAATTACAACACAAAAGTTGATTTTGTTTGTCAGTAGAATATAGGAATGATGACTTTTGCCAGAATGTGGAAGATATCAAGTTTTGTTTTCTTTTTCCATTCAATCATTTACACCTTCCCTCTTCCCAGTCCTCTCCAATTCCCCCACACCCTGTCTTCTGAAGGCAAAGGTGTAAGTCACAACAATCCCACAACAGTTTGGAATTATGATTAATAGAATGGTTATTTATTTAAAGGGGAAAAAACTTACAGATCACCGTCCCAGACAACAGCCCTCTGCACAATCAGGAAGGGAGTCTAGTCGCTGGAAGTGGAGCAGGATATAAGAGAGAGCAAGAAGGGAAGTGACTGCTTTTTTAAAGGGAGAGAGACCACGCCCCAACGGGCTGGTATCTCAGCGGCTATTGGCTGAAGGAGCGGGAGGAGCTCCTGCAACAGTCTTCCCTCTCCCACCTTGCTTGAGGGAGGGAAGGGAAACCTGCCTTTTGGGAAGTACAAGGCCACCCCCCCTTACATCTAGGCCTAGGAACCTGTGCATTCATGTAGACTAGGGTCCCAGAAAGCCAGAACATGTGGTAAAATGAAGCCCCAGTGCCTTTTTCAATGGCTTCTCAGTCAGCCCCATTGTCAGCCACAATCAAAGAGTCCAGTTTGATCACATGCTCATTCAGACCTGGTCGAGCTAGACTTGGTGTATTCCCATTAGAACATAAAGTGTGGAATATATATGCATTAGAGTACTACTCAGCTGTACAAAACAAGAACATCTTGAATTTTGCTTGCAAATGGATGGAAATAGAAAACACTATCCTGAATGAGATAACCCAGACCCAAAAAGATGAATATGGTATGTACTCACTCATTTGTGGACTCTAGCCATAAACCATGGTCATTAAGCCTATAGTTCACAAGCCTAGAGAAGCCAAATAACAAGGTGATCCCAAAGAAAAACATTTATAGATCCTACTGGAAATTAGAAGCAAACAAGATTGCAGGGCAAAAGTTGTGAGCATCGGGGTGGGGGCAAACATGGAGGTGAGGTTGGGGGAAAGAGGACAAGGGAAGAGGGAAGGGAGAAGGCAAGGACTGGCAATAGCTTGTGGGAGGTGGAGGGTAGAGATGGAGGAAGGGCAGATATAGGAGCAGGGAAGAAGATAGCTACATTCAGGCATCCATTTTAGGGTTGGCAAGAGACTTGGCTCTAAAGAGGATCCCAGGTGTCCACAGGGCTGTCCCCAGATAGGGCCTTGAACAGCAGGGGAGAGGGTACCTGAACTGTCCTTGCCCCACTATCATGATGATGATTATCTTGAATATCACCATAGAATCTTGATCCAGTGACAGATGGAGATAGATAGAGACCCTCATCAGAGGAATTTACTGAGCTCCCAAGGTCCAGTGGAAAGGCAGAAGGAGGTAGAAGACAAGCAAGGAAGTCAGAATCAAGAGGGGTTGGTCTACCCACTGAGACAGATATCAAAAAATAGAAACTTGAACATAATTAACTGTTCTTGTAAGACCATGAAAATGTAATTGCAGAAAGTGGTTATTGAGATCATAGGATTTCAGTTTAAAATAAACTTGATTTAAAAAAAAAAGCACGCAGGGAAGTGGTGGCATACGCCTTCAATCCCAGCACTCGGGAGGCAGAGGCAGGTGGATCTCTGTGAGTTCGAGACCAGCCTGGTCTACAAGACCTAGTTCCAGGACAGGCTCCAAAGCTGCAGAGAAACCCTGTCTCAAAGGAAAAAAAAAAGCCTAGGTTTTTGTCTGATTTTTTTTTCTTTTTATTTGTTTTCCAATAGAGGGTTTCCCCAGTGTAACAATCCTACCTGTCCTGGAACTAACTCTTGTAGACCAGGCTGGCCTCAAACTCAGAGGGATTCACCTGCCTCTGCCTCCCCAGTGCTGGGGTTAAAGGTGTGCGTCACCACCATCCAGACTTTAGTGTATTATTTTAGCTCTAAGCATTTTCTTATTTTGCCTATGCTCTAGAAATTTAGTAATACCAAATTAAAATGCAATAGGCTAATGTCTTTAAAGAATATTGAAGCTGTTCAATGGTTATCACTGATGACTCTTTTAGGTGTCCAGTAAAAGTACCCAGGTAGGGCAGAAATAAATGAAAATAAAAATGTAGCTTCAAAGGGCATTTATGTGTTAATACAGGCAGGAATTTTCAAAGAGTTTATTATCATTACAGAAAAGCCATTGCTGTGCAGTGGAAGCTTATCAAGGTGCCCTAAGGGTAAGACTCCATATACAGAAACCTTCAATTTAGGGATGGTTGAGCAAATTGATTCATAGTCACAGGAAGCTACTTCATTCAAAACCTTCTGCACCTGTGGTCAAGCTCATTAGTGTTCATTGCATTAAAGAAAACCCTACTTCTCAGCATCACCAGCAATGTGTTGGTCTTGGGAACATGAAAGAATCAAAATTTAAGATCATGGCTTTTTAGCCCATGGTTACAGTTTACCATTATTGCAGGCATCTGTGTTTGGCAGAGACAGAAGCCCAGTGAGGAGACAGTGAGAGTTCATTGCATGAAGCTGTGAGGATTGAAGCTGGGTGCGGTGTGGTTTCTTTTCCTCTCTTGTTCCTTTAGGGCCTGCCACCCAGTTGTCAATTAAATTCCACACATGGAGGCTTATTTTTTTTTCTTTAAATGCTTGATTATGGTTTGTTTCAAGTCAGGTTGTTTTTAACTTAATTGTTCTCTACAATTTCCCCCTGTCCTTTATCTTTATTCTGTATTCCCCTCTTTATTTCTTACTCCATGGTTTAAAGGCTCCTGTTGTTTTCTCCTTTCTGTTGCCTCTTCTTTCTTTTCTCCTCCCAGATTTTCCCTCCCATTGATTCTCTTTTCCTGGCAGCCCTGCCTGTCCTTTCTTGTCATGTGACAGGTCATTCAAATATGTTTTAGAACAACCAGTTATTTTAGATAGGCAAACTGTCACAGCTTCACAGAGCTAAACCAATGCAGCAATTCTTTGCATCATTAAAACAAATGTTCCACAGCATAAATAAATATGACACATTTAAAAATGTGATTTCACAGCACAGTGGTTTCCATTTTGAGCCCAAAGATGTTAAAATACCTAAGGTATGACACAACTTCCATGGAGAACTAGCCACTTATAGTGATGGGAAGTTACCAAAGAGACAAGTGCAGGAGAAGTTGCAAGGACAAGGCCGTTTAAGTCATTTGAAACTGAAGCCATCCATCTGACAAGGGAGCTACAGGATTTGATGTTTGTCCTGCTCTACTTCAGTCTTGCCTTGGTTGAATCTTCCCTTACTGTGTCTTTATTTTTCTCTTTTGGAATGTTAATGGGATTTTGTACCATTGATGTTAGAAGGAGGTAACGTGTTTTCAGGTTTTACAAGATGTTGCTGTGAACAGATTATCTTGAGTGCCAGATGGCATTACACATTTGGACAGTGTAGGGACCATTGCAGATGAGGATCATTACATGTCTATCCTAGAAATGACAAAATGCAATTTTTCCATTGTTGACCATGAACCAATAGTGGCTGGGGTCAGAATGAACTTGATTGAATGAACAACCTCCCAGAAAAGATCACGTATTTGAACAAGTTTCTCTCCTTGGTGGCTTTCTTTCAACTTCCTGTGAATATTTAGTAGGAGAAGCCTGTCCAGATGATATTCCTCATTATACATAATGAGTCTCAATACCATGAACTAATTTCCTAACACTTGTATCTACTGTTTTGTGCTTAACATTAATCAGCCAACTTCCTACTTCTATGGAAATTTTTTTGCCATCATTATAGGTTTGATCTCTACATTCTATATCTTGCCTATATTCTATAGGTAAAAATGAGATATAGCAGAAACAGTTGCTATTAAGGAGTTTGGCAACATGCTATTTTAATTGCTTTGTTTGCTTGTCTAAGTAGCCCTTACTGTTGCTCTCCAAATTCCTGAAAGTAAAGGGGGGCATCATTTCTGGCTCTATACATTTTTATATTATTGGGTGATAGCCCTTGAATATAGGGGTTTTTTTTATATGACAAGTATATGCTGCTGTGCTGAGCTTCACATATATATTGAATTTTAAAAATTGCAAGAGGGTATCACTCTGATTCCCAGGATACCATGTATTTATGTTTATTAATACTGCCTGAGTCAGTTAATTGCCGGTGCATGAACTTATTCTGGTTTGTTATGCTTAATTTGATTTTTTTTAAACAATATGATTATTTTATATGTCTGCATGGATATTCATTACCTGCGTACCTGGTCATCAAGGTTATCTAAAGATCTCAGAATTCCTGATCATAGAACAATGGAAAGTTGTGATCCCCATGTAAGTAGTGGAAAATGTGCCCACCTCCATTCAAGACCCGCAAAAACACTGAATTACTCTACCTTCTCTCCAGCTCTTTGTTGATTATTCATGACCAACATGTATATTTCTAGTGTTTTCATCTGTGCATTTTAACTTCTTTACACGTGAAGTTCCTTTCTACAAAATATTATTAGACTTATAGTTTAAATTGTGACACTTCCGGTATCGGGAAAATGAATACAGAACTTGAGTGAATGGAAAATTATTTAGAAGAACTTCAATAAAAGCCTTTCTGTTTTTTATATCCCATTTCTTTGTTTCCCTGAATTTTACAATGGAGACAGTGTCTTAATGTTTACTTCCACCTATCCTGGACATGATTGCATAGACTTGACTGGCATTCAATTCAGAGACAAATATACCCACCTCTGTTTTCTGAGTGTTGTGTTTAAAGGCACAATAGAACAATATACCCAGGGTGTCCATATTACTTTTTTTTGTGTGTGTTTTGTAACTCTTCATACAATTTTCTCATGCATACTATATAGTGCTGATCTTTTCTGTTGTCTCTTCCTCTCAATAGACCTTGCTCTTATGACAGAGTTGACTCTGCTTTTCAATTTCCCTCTATAGTGACTGTCTATGTCATGGCATAAGAGTAAGGAACACCAGAATCATCTGTCTATACCCTGAAAGAAGTATGAATTTCCATCTTTGTCACTGTGGTGCTTTCCATTTTACACATGTGTGGTGTATTTTAGAAGGCAGTGACCTATGATGATGTGCACATCAACTTCACCCGGGAAGAGTGGGATTTGCTGAATCTTTCCCAGAAGAATCTCTATAAGGATGTAATGCTGGAAACCTACAAGAACCTCATTTCTATAGGTAAAAATGAATTTGCTTCATGTTTCAAAATATGGAAACAACTTTTCCATGGTTAAGGATGTTGTTCTGCAATTTGATTTAAAAAGAAGAATGAGGTGAATACAGCAGTCATATTTCTTAGGTGCACTTAAGTAATAAGCTAAGTGTTGCACATTGTTAAATGATATAAGATATATTCTGGTCCTGTATTTTAGGATACATTGGGGAAGACCATAACACTGAAGAACATTGGCAATGTTCTAGAAGACATGCAAGGTAATTTTCATGTGCAAGTTGATAACAATGTGCCTCTGATGAGACTGCACTTTCTCCTAGAACTTTTAAATAAAAGCAGCAATGTAAATAAGCACAGCTTTAAGTGCGTAGATGGTTATTAAATCCTCACAAATACATATACCTTAATTTCATATATATGAATTATTCTTCCTTTCCTATGTGTATCAGACACTACCCTTGATATAACCTCATGAGCATAGAGACATGAAAAGATTTAACATACTTCTCCTTAAATCAGAAAGAAGATAGGCAGTAGTTCCCATGTAGAGTATACTTGTTGAATTTGATTCAAGTATACAATACTGATGGTTTTCTACAATCATTATTAATATAAAAACGCCCCATGAATTCTAAGTCTGTGCAAATCCTTCTGAATGTCCTAGTTCACTTAGCAAATGAAATATGATTCACAGTATAGTAAAATTTATGAATGCAGTAGAGTTGGGAAAGCTCTCAGTGTATTCAGTTGTCTTCAAAAATATGAATAATATCATATAAAAATATTTTTGTAAATGTGAAAAGGTAAACCTAAAAAAAAAGGAATTTATCATCATACCTATTTTCGTAGATGCAAACTGTCCCCTAATTAAAAAGCAAACATGATTGTAAACAAAGTTATGAAAGCTTAATAATTAATTTCTATTTAGAATAGGAACAAGTTGTAAAATAAATTCATACAGATATAAGGTTCAACAGTGTATTGAATGTGGTAAAGCTTTTAAATGTGCCGATTATCCTTGCAGGATTGAAAGAAACCAAAATGGTGACAAGAAACTTTCAGAGTATACGCAATGTGTTCAAGCCTTTTCTGATGACACCCACTTTCTAAGACATGAAAAAACACATACTGGAGAAAAACAGTCTAAAATTAAGCAGTGCGGGGAAGACTTTGCTTATCACAGTTATATTCACGTGCTTGAAAGAAAACACACTGGAAATAAACCCTATGAATATAGTCAAGGTGATAAAGACTTTGTTCTTTATGAAACTCATCAAAGTCATAACAGCACACATACTGGAGAGAAACCTTATGAATGCGATCAGTGTGGTAAGGCCTATGCATCTCAAACTGAACTTCAAAAGCCTAAAAGAATACATACTGGAGAGAAACGCTATGAATGTAATCAGTGTGGTAACATCTTTGCATCTCTTCAAAGGCATAAAAGAACACATACTGGAGAGAAACGCTATGAGTGTAATCAGTGTGGTAAGGCCTTTGCATGTCACAGTCATCTTCAAGTGCATAAAAGGATACATACTGGAGAGAAACCCTATGAATGTAATCACTGTGGTAAGACCTTTGCACGTCATAGTCATCTTCAATTGCATAAAAGAACACATACTGGAGAGAAACCCTATGAATGTAATCACTGTGGTAAGACCTTTGCACGTCACAGTGATCTTCAAAAGCATAAAAGAACACATACTGGAGAAAAACCTTATCGATGTAATCAATGTGGTAAAGCCTTTGTCCAGCACAGTCATCTTCAAAGGCATAAAAGAACACATACTGGAGAGAAACCATATGAATGTAATCAGTGTGGTAAGGCCTTTACACGACTCAGTCATCTTCATTTGCATAAGAAAACACATACTGGAGAGAAACCCTATGAATGTAATCTGTGTGGTAAGGCCTTTGCAGCTCAGAGAAATCTTCAAAAGCATAAAAGAACACATACTAAAGAGAAACCCTATGCATGTAGTCAGTGTGGCAAGGCCTTTGCATGTCACAGTCTTCTTCAAGTGCATAAAAGAAAACATACTGGAGAAAAACCCTATGAATGTAATCAGTGTGGTAAGGCCTTTGCTGAAAACAGTACTCTTCAAAAGCATGAAAGAACACATACTGGAGAAAAACCTTATGAATGTAAGCAGTGTGGTAAGGCCTTTGCACATCATAGTCAACTTCAAGTGCATAAAACAACACATACTGGAGAGAAACCCTATGAATGTAATCAGTGTGGTAAGGCCTTTGCAGCTCAGAGTAATCTTCAATTCCATAAAAAAACACATACTGGAGAGAAACACTATGAATGTAGTTTGTGTGGTAAGGCTTTTGCATGTCACAGTCATCTTCAATTGCATAAAAGAAAACATACTGGAGAGAAAGAAACCCTATGAACGTTATTAGTGTAAAAAGGCCTTTGCACGTCATGGGAGTCTTCAATTACATAGAACACATACAAGATAGAAAAACTATGAATGTAATCAATGTGGTAAGGCCATTACAAGTCTCAGTCTTCTTAAATTGCATAAAAAAACACATTCTAGTGAGAAACCTTATTATCGTAATCATTTTGGTAAGGCCTTTGCAAAACACAGTCATCTTCAAATGTACAAAGGTCACAGAGTAGAGAGGACCCCTATGAATGTAGTCAGTGTGGTTAGGTGTTTGAAGACCACTGTACTCTTCAAAGTTATAAGAGATCACACAGTGTGGGAAAACTTTATGAATGTATATCAGTGGAAGGAAGACTTTTTACATCTTATTCATCTTCAAATGCATAAAAGAACACAGACTGGACAGATAACTGTCAATGGAATCTGTGGTAAATCCTTTGTCACAACCATCTGTAAATACATTAAATAACTCTTCCTGCAGAGAAACTCTATGAATTTAATGTATGTATTCTTCAAAACCATGAGAAAAATCATGCTATAATAAAACTCTATTAGAGAATTTAGTGTTTTAATGTTTTGTACTTCATACAGGAGTAAGACTTTTGTGTGTAATCAATCTGATAAAGCTTATGAATATTACCATAATCATTTGGACCTGTGGAAGAAACTGAACAAAAGTAACCAATCCTTCAGTATGAAATCCAGCCCATCTCTGATCTTTCCCAGGAGTGAGGATTAACATCTAACAAATTCCCTCCTTCAAAATCTCCTTTGATGCCCCCTGGTCCTAAGAAGCCCTATATGAACCATATGCCAATTCTGTATGCTGCTTCCCAATTCCACACTGGCAGGCGTATTTATACTCCTGATTTCTTCCTTCTCAAATAAAGAGGACAGTAATGCGTGTGCAGGCTCACATGGGCATTAGTGTGAGGACATTCTTTTACTGGAATGCTTCAAAACTCCTCAAGTTGTGCTGACATACAATTGTTACTTCTGTTTGGAAACCCTTACGAGAATTGAGCTCATCCCAGATGTGATGGATCACTTTTAACTTCCCTGGACACAATCAAAGATTTTTTGTTTCACCGGGCAATGGTGGCGCACACCTTTAATCCCAGCACCTGGGAGGCAGAGGCAGGCGGATCTCTGTGAGTTTGAGACCATCCTGGTCTATAAGAGCTAGTTCCAGGACAGGCTCCAAAGCCGCAGAAATTCACTGTCTCAAAAAACCAAAAAAAAAAAAAAAAAAAAAATTTCTTTACTTATTGCTTGTTTGTTTTGCTATTTTTTTTCAGTTACTCAAGACAGGCGTTTTCTGTAACTTTGAAGTCTTTTTGTTTTATGTTTTTGTCTGTTTTGTTTTTCTTTTGGTTTTTTCAAGACAAGGTTTCTGGTAGATTTAGAGCCTGGCCTGGAACTAGCTCTTGTAGACCAGGTTGGCCTCCAACTCACAGAGATCTGTCTCTGCCTGCCGAGTGTTGGGATTAAAGGTGTACATCACCCTTCTCTGGCCAACAAGGCCTTGGTGGATTTTTTCAAGACAGGGTTTCTCTGTGTACATCTGGCTGTGCTGGCCCACAAACCATACAGCAGGTTGTTATCAAACTCACAAAGATCTGCCTTTAAATGCATCATTGCTCTAATTTCTTATTTCTTCCTATTCCCCATTGTTTCTTTCCATTTTTTATTTATTTATTTTTATTTTTTTTAAATTTATTTATTTATTAAGGATTTCTGCCTCGTCCCCACAACCGCTTCCCATTTCCCTCCCCCTCCCCCGATCAAGTCCCCCTCCCTCATCTGCTCAAAGAGCAATCAGGGTTCCCTGACCTGTGGGAAGCCCAAGGACTGCCCACCTCTATCCAGGTCTCGTAAGGTGAGCATTCAAACTGCCTAGGCTCCCACAAAGCCAGTACGTGCAGTAGGATCAAAAACCCACTGCAATTGTTCTTGAATTCTCAGTATTCCTCATTGTCCGCTATGTTCAGCTAGTCCGGATTTATCCCATGCTTTTTCAGACCTAGGCCAGCTGGCCTTGGTGAGATCCCAATAGAACATCCCCATTGTCTTAGTGTGTGGGTGCACCCCTCGTGGTCCTGAGTTCCTTGCTCGTGCTCCGTCTCCTTCTGCTCCTGATTTGGACCTTGAGATTTCTGTCCATCTTTCCATTTTTTAAATCAAGTCTGTTGTTTACTTATTTATTTTTAAGCAATGTCTTCTGTAACTTAGGCTGGCCACACACAATGCCATTGAGAATTCCATTGCACACCCTATCCTGCTTCTGCTACCAAGTGCTGAAAAGTCCTGCAATTGCTTCATGGCTGGACCTTAACTGGTCAGTGAGAAAAAAGTAGACCGGTAAAGGGGGCCCTCCTACTTTTCTGGATTATAATTCAAACTTAAAAATAAAGTTGGATTGTGTACAAATTGAGTTCAGTGACCAAATTAAAGCTTGCATAGTCCCAGCACAGAAAGGGCTGGACAAGAAGCATGAAAACTTACTAAAGTAGTCTACACAAAGAATTGATTATACCTAAGAGGGATTTTATTTAATTAAAGGTTTTGAATAGGTAAATTCTTCATTCATGTGGATCATTTGAGGTGGTAAGCTCCACATTTTTTGGGTGTTTTGCAACAGGGTTTCACTAGCTTTGGACCCTGTTTTGGAACTAGCTCTTGTAGAGCAGGTTGGACTCAAACTGATAGACATCCACCTGCCTCTGCATCCAGTTCCTGGGTTTAAAGGCATACACCATCACCACCCTGCAAGCTCCACTTTTAGCTGCTTTGTGGTAGTGCACACCTTTAACATTATCACTCAAGAGGCTGAGGCAGTGGGATTTTTTGAGTTTGAGACCAGTCTGGCCTACAGAATGAGTTTCAGGTCTACATAGATAAATCCTATCTTGAAAACACCAAACCAAACAAAACAAAAACAGAAATAACAAACAAACAAAAAACCAAACAAATACTATAATCCACCTTTAACCTAGATCTCACCTTCTAGATGATTGCCTCTGACCTAATAGAAAGGATATTGAAGAAAGAAGCTCTCTTTTTGCTCTGGTATCAAGTTCTGGCTACCGAGTTCATTCCATTATTAGCATTAGAGTCGACTTGTTTGGAATTTTGATGTATATAGAAAACCAGGTGAAACCTTGAACCTCATGGATTGAACAACTACTGGATTCTTCACTTGATTATAGACAAAAGGCTGTGCAGAAATCTACTGGATTCTTCCAAATTCCATTGGTAGACATCTATTTTTAAGATGACCTGGACCACAGCTTGTAAGACTTTGTCATAAGCCCAATTTCTACTAAAATGGTGAGTTCATTCTACCTGTCTTGTTCATGTAGTAACACAGCTGTATATTTTATTCACCAGTCCACAGAGGAAGATGGCTTACAGCTGGCTAACAGCAGTGCTCATAAAGACATTCTTCCTGGCTCCATTATTCTCTATGTATTCAAATTTCCATGAACCCTACTCTCTTTAACATTTTTCATTTGCCTGGAATTTTCTCTGAATTTCAGGAATAAAACTTGTAAAGCAATGGAGCCATTACCCAGCCTTCTGATTGGGGAAAGATCTTGTTTAAGATCGGGTTCCTACTTTTTTCTCATGATTGTCTGAAATACCTGTGACAACGAGGTAAAATGTACCTTCAGTTCATCTGACCTCAGCATGAAATCACGCAACAAACATTTCCTTTTGTGATCTAAAAATTCTCTTTCGTTGTTAATATTCTGGGCTGCCTTCTACCTGTGGGACAGGAAATCACCACACCCACCTAGCACAGTTCACTGTACAAGCTAGCTAGCTTGTCCTGGAGGAAAAAGGCAAGATTCCTATGGAGTGCAGGATTGTGGCAGTGTCTGCTATTGGAGGCTTGGGCAAGTGTTATTGAAATGCCTATTTTTGCAGATCTAGAAAAGACTTTTGTTGGGAGCAGAAAGGAATGACCAGGAACCATTGTGCTGTCTCTTTAAGCAAGCTATACTCCTTTGGAAGGTTCATCCCACTCAGGCCTCACTAGCCAATCAGGCCCTCCAGTTGACCTGCCAGTCAGAAGTGGTGCATTGCTCTTCCTGTGACCTGCCTCCCTGTTAGGGTTTCCGGAGGAGCTGGCACCAGTGGTTTATGTGCTGTTGTGCCTTTGCTGCTGCAGGGAGATGATGAACTGAGAGCTTTGGTGGGCTGGAGAACCACAACATGGTGATCGACGGAATGCTGTCTCCAGATGGTGAGGTGCATTTTCCCCAGATCTGGGAGAGAACCTGCCACCAGTTTTCCTATGTTGTGAAGTCCCATGCAGTCCTTGCTAATTTATGGACCTGTGGGCAGGCCTCTGAATAACTCTGCTCAGTGGGCTTAATTTGTTTGGAGAGTTGGGAGCAGGGAGCTGTGTGTACAAACGTCTTTCTAGTCAATTTCTGCAGGCATGATACATTCATGGAAAACCATTGGCAAACTTGGAGAGGCCTAGTTTCTCCAGTATCTTCTTGACATTCAGTAGTTTTCATTTAACCTTCGCATATAGTCATCATTAATTTTAAATTTGTGGAGGTCATCCACAGCTTCTCATGTGCTGGGTAGCACTCCAATGCCAATGCTTAATACATAGGCTAACAAAGTAGAATTGAACTAATTCTACTGCATCTAAAACATTTAAATCCTAAGTATATGTTAACCAGGGCTGTTAGAATGCTCATGTACACATTTTTCAACCGCAATATTCAGATATTTGGCTCCAAACCATGACAAGGAAGCCATTAAAACCAGTCACTTGGCCCTTTGCCATATCAAAAAACAGGCTACTAGCAAGCTGCTCAAGGAGGCCTTACAGGGTCACAACTAACCTTAAGGCCTGGTGTGCCTTAAAGTTCCCCTTTCTTTGTAAGAAAAGCATAGTTCTGCCAGATGGGCAAAATGACATCAGGTGACAAATATTTGAAAAGCAAAATACTGTTTTGGTAAGGACTGACCTGGTCAATCAAGGCTTTCATTTAGGACCTCAGGCAGGGTGAAAGAACATTCTTGGGAGCATTCCCTAAGGGCCCGATGTACTGATAATAAAACAGAGCTCTTTATCTAAAACCAGGAATATGTTTGGAAGAGCTGGTAATGGTCTGGGGATAAGTCCTTTGTGGAGAAGTTTCTTCAGGTCCGAGAAACCAACTCTTTCCAGCATATGGAGCTATAATTTTCAGTTCCTAACCAACTCAGCATATAGGAAAGTTCTTGAGATACCCTGTGTTCCCCATGTGTAAAATTGTTTGACTAGCCTCCTCCTAAATTTTTCCCATTGTGTAATAGTTTCTACTGACTTCATAAAATTCTTCCATTTTTTTCCATTTACTCCTAGGAAGTATACAAGATATAAGGTGCTTTTCTTCTTTTCTCTTTTTTATGTTGGTCTTGTTTTTTGGGACAGAGTTTCTCTGTAGGACTGACCTGACTATCCTAGACTGTCCTGACTATTCTAGAACTCATGCTGTAGACCATGCTTGCTTCAAACTCATAGAGATTATTTGGGTTTGCCTCCTTAGTCTTGGGATTAAAGGCCTGTGCCACCATTGCCTGGAAAGAGGCTATTTTTCTTAAGAAGCTTACA